GCATATTATCAATGGGAAAAGATACTGCCAAGAGTCGCTGGGGTAAATATGACTTGCATCACCCTGTTTTAATAAATTGGAAAAGGTTTCTCTATCAGATCTAGGAATATCAAGTTCCTCGATCAACAAAGCCAAAAAAGATATCCATTGGATGTGTTCATCAGATGCTTCCAATATTATTGAGTTCTCAGCTAAAACAACAAAAGAACCTTTCGAATATAACCAATTCCTTGCTGTTTTTACCCAATCAACTGTTCCAACCGTTCTACAATGAAATAGGGTCCTTCCTACCAGGCCAAGCCTCGTTCTTACTAAATCATTGGTCGCTACACCGGGCGACATTAACGATGCCAGTTATGACCATTGGGTACTGCCTAGGTGCTCATGTTACAGCAGTTACGTCTACTTTGGGAATCTCACCGCGTCGCCTGCATCACCCGGAGCATCTAGGCCTTCTCGAATCTACCACAGTCACAAGCGCAAATAAACAGATCTTGGTTTTAACTAGAATCCCAGATCATCGGTATTACTCGAGAAGCTTAAGAAGAGCCTCGAATCAACTTTCAATGACTCAAATATCTATCGGGTAAGTTGTACGTCCTCATAGTATTCGCTCATAAACTTCCCCGCATCTTTCGTTTCTTTAGTTCATCTCCTCCAAGAGTATTCGGTAAAACATGGACTATATGGCTTGTCAAGAGCAATGTTGATCACAGTATGTTTAATTCTTCGAAGTCCGATCGTCAGTCAAATATCCATGGATATTTTGTGTACTTGTTTTATATGTTGTCAGTACCCCCGAATATATACATCGAAGACCGCAATGTTGAACAGCACATGTCAACCATCACCAGGCATCAGGCAACAAGATAGAAACTCCGAAATTTCAACTCTCTCTTTCGTCATTGTATAATAAAATTATTCCACCATATTTCTCGCCATCCAACGACTCCAGAGCCTCGAGTTACGCGCTGACGTCAACCTCACGTGAGGGTACACGCGGCCCGAGCTCATGTGGATCGCCGATAACGAACTCCCCCAGTCACTCCAACAGCGCCAATATACCTTCACTCTTGCATCTCCCTGCACCTTGATCTCATTGGAGGGAACGTACATACTCAGAAAAGAATTCCTTTCCATTGCAATCTACTCAACGCCACTTGATTCTCCCATTCTGCCAGATACTTGGCGCCGACGTCAATGGTGATAGCTTGACAGGTGTCCACACCCGCCCCACGTTCAACTCACTGTTTGATTCTCCGATCACACCCCTCTAGCCATGGTGGCTTGGAATGTCTTTCGTATAATTGGAGACCTGTCTCATGCAGGCTCAATATGTGTCCTTCTCTGGGCTATTCACAAGAATAAGAGCGCCGAGGGTTCGTACACCCCTTGTATCAATCCGATTGCCTATGTACCTTGCAGAGCTTACTGACACATGCGTTTGATTTAGGTGTCTCACTCCTCACGCAGATACTTTACGGCGTCGTCTTCATATTTCGTTATCTTGATCTATTTGATCCCCACACATACACGAGCGGCACGTGGCACAGCATTTGGAATGTCTCCTTCAAGCTATTCTACCTCATCTCGTCCTCATACCTGATCTTCTTGATGATGAAAGTATACCCGCGGACGAGAGAGAGGGAGCGAGCTTGGAAGCTCGGTTCGTGGTCTGTGGTTGGGTCCGTTGTTTTGGCACCTATCTCAATCTGGCTTCTCGACAGAGAGCCTTACAATTTATGGGTCATTGAGGTAAGTTGGTCAAACCCGGATTATCCATATTCTGCAGCTTAACTGATCTGATCAATTAGTTTTTCTGGGCTTTCTCCATTATTCTTGAGTCTGTGTGTGTTTTGCCACAGCTCCTTCTCCTTCGCCAGACAACTGTCCCCACGGTGATCGATTCATATTACCTCCTTGCTCTGGGCTCCTACAGAGCATTCTACATCCTCAATTGGATAGTCCGCCTCTTTAGAAAGGAGCCCTTCAATGATTGGATCGCGGTCGTGTTTGGCATTGTACAGACTGCCTTCTATGTCGACTTTGCATGGGTATACTATTCGCGCCAGCGAGTCAAGCTTCGCAATGGTGGTGTCGTTGACTCCGAAGACTATGGAAACAGCTGGCTGGTAAATCGCGTGGTGAATTTCCGGGCATCGCGAGGCTCCGCAGATGAAGAACAGCACCTTCGAGACGAGGAGGAAGGGGTAGATGGCCAATCAAACCACAACCGGTGGGGCGCTCGTGGTATTTCCATCGCAGCTGATGATACCCTGGAAAGCAATGGTCACAATAAGGGACCTCATCGTGATGATAGTTTAGATGGGTTTTCGGGGGACGAGGACGAAACCGATGATCACCGTGTGAACAATTCTCGTTAAGTGATGATTGGCTATGGGAAAATTCGGCCCCAGCATGGCATAACTATATGTCAGTCATGTTATGTTGGTTGTTGGATGATGCGCAGAGTCTTCATGGGCCCTAAATGGGTTGACGGCACGGGAAGACCCGCTGCCGTTCTAGTTTGGTTATCTCCCGGGATTTGATACCCACCTTTTGATTCTCGGGCCTTTTTTTATGATCGAATCGGGAAATGAGAAGATGTACGAAGTATTCCGTATTCTGGCCCCAAGTCTATGGGGCCATGTTTGCTCAGCCTACGCAGTTTCACGATGCTACCCGGGGGTCATTTTATGTCATTTTATGCCATTCAATGTCAGTAGTAGCCCGCTATGGATTCTGATTCTCATTTAGTCTTTACCTACGGAGTAGTCCGTAGTTAGTAGTCCTTTACTGCCTTGATTTACTCTGTATGCATGGAAACCGGCCGGTACATCTGTAGTTCTACGTCCCGGATTGTTGGGGGCTTTTCTTCTTAGCTGCCGCTTTCATGCGGGCGCTCTCCTCGGGATCCTGAGAATATTACATTACCAGGGTATCTATTGATCTCGGAGCACTTCGTCTTTAGACACCTATAAGAGCATTCGGCCCCCAAAAAGTATGTACTTTGGATAAATGGTCAGCACATAAGATAATGTCAGAAATAACAGAAGTTCCCATACAACGGTGAAAAAGTGAGAAATAGTCAATAGTCAATAGCCACAATACGGGTAGGGTAGTCTAGAAGGTCTCAGTGTTGCCCCACAAAGGAACGCAGATCTTCAAAGCATGAGTTTCTTTTGATTCATGGAGTTGCAGCCCGACTGAGAGATCCTTAACCTAGTCGAATTGAGGAGAACACTGTATTCCAGCCCAATGTTGGCGATGAATCCTTAATGCATGTGTAAACCTAATATCTCACGGTATCTAGCCCCAGAGCTGAATTGGGGGCCAAATAAGGTCGTCAATGTTGGTTTATCACCATCCAAGATTGGGAGCTATCAGCTCCCAGCTCCCAATATGCAGTGCCTTTTTCCTAAAAGGTGATGTGCAGATGGATCAAAATGAAATGAGCGTATTAAGTTCGGCCCAGACACGCCTGGCTTTTTTTCGGGCGCTTAGAAGCAGGACGTGGCTCGGAGAGAGCTGACCGATGTGCCGGAAAGCAAACGATAACCGGAGATTGGAGAAGAGAGGGAAAAAAACCAAAAAAAAAAAACAGTTACGATACTAGTCTTTTCTTTCTTTTTTACCCCAAGATCCCCACAGAAGCAAGAACATCAAGAAAATCAACTGAAAAAAAAACAATAACAAAGAAAGTTCCAAGGTTGTTCTGCGCCTTCAAGATGACCGGGGTTTACCGGGTGTGTGCATCAGCGCTTAACCAGCGGTCATGAATTCTCCGTGGACAAAGCCACCAAGCGGCTCGTGGGGTCTTGTCAGCCTCAGAGGATTTTTGAACCATCTTTGGCCAGTCGAGAGCCGCCCATCTTGAACAACGCTTCTGCATGGGGAATGGAGAATGCATGGAGAAGGATCGTGATCCCTCCCTTCCATCCCACAACCGGTGTGTTGGAATCCAGTAGCGTCAAGTTGAGGGTTTTTTTGTCTTCTTCTTTTCTGCTCGTGGGGGCTGCCAAAATGAAACATCATTAGAGTAGATAGGCTGTCAACAAGGCTGACTTGGGGCAGAATATCTTTATGAGAAGGGGGGCCATATCAGCTTTGGGGGCAGTTGAACGTTTTATGTCTACAAAGTAACTAAAAAGAGACCCAGGATGGTAATTGACGGGTTTAGTATGGATATTATGGATATTATGGTTTTTGATGGGGGCTCCTCCCTAATCCATCCACTGGACCTCTCCAGAGCTCTAAGCGCTACGCTTTGGCTCCTTTGTGGAGGATCATCCACAACCCTAAGCAGCACACATTTTTCCTGCGTTTTTTTTGCGTTTTTGCTTTTTTTCTTTTCCCTTTTTTATTTTATTTTGGCCCATTGCAGTGGGTCTAAATCCACAGACTCACTTTAATTCCTATTCACAATGCAGAGTCTGAGCCCCCGGTCAGGGATGGGGGCGGAATATGGATATCAATATTGAACTATTGAGCCCGCAGCGCTTAAATATAGGCTCTCGTCGAGTTTTCATTAGTTTCCCTACGTTCTAATGCGGCATAACGCTCATCGGCGGTACTGATCTCTGTTTTGGTGCCCTCTGAGCCTATGGTTAATACCTCGACTGATTGTTCACATCTTGCCTCACGAGGCATCCCGGTGCTGGCTGTGATATCCCTCGAAGTGGAGGACAGCGGAATTGTGCATCTTTCTTGCTTTTAAATCTTCCCCTCTTTTTTCTTGCTCGCATGAATCTTATAAGATCGACTACCGTCGATGGTTGGGAACGTGAATCTTTTCTTCAACACTCAGAGCGAAAAGGCCTTTGATATACACATACAACCCTAAAAGTTGAGCCGCCTGCAGTCCCACATCCTCCCTTACCTCGAGTTTCATATCTCGTTTCACATTCTGCTGCTTCGGCGTTTATTCTCCCCACTCAGACAACGCAGTGGACAGTGAATTTCCCCGTGTTTTATGTTCTTGAGAGCAACCAGTCAACATCATGTCTAATCGCTCGGACATCCCCTCTGAGGAGTTGACAGAGTACTATGAAGACATTCCAGCCCATTGGCCCCCAATGCCACCGGTATGTACCTACGCACTTCTGCCACAGGACATTGTATACTTTTGCAACATAAACTGACCCCGTATACGATCTAGACCCCATTCTTGGGATCCAGCCCTTACTGCACAGAGCCTCTAGCCCAGTCTAGCTTCCTGACACCAGTCAGTCTTCCGGGTGGCTCGTTTAATCCCAGCCCAGCAATCAGTCACCACTCCCAAGGCTACCACACACAAGATTACCAATACAACTTTAATGATCCCCTCTCAGCACCATTGGGTCTTGGTATCTCTGCGCCCTTCCCGAATGATTTCCCCCGCTCCTCAGCTCCCAGTCCCGCCTACCTGTATGCTACGGACCCAAGCGGCATCCCGCATAGCGTGGAACAGACGCCTAGCCCGTCGCCCCAGGGTCCACCCCCAGCCAAGCGCGCCAAACTTCCATCCTCGGAGACGCCCTCGCTCGAGAAGGCCAGCCACACACCAATCAACATCGCTCCTAATCCAGAGGGTGTTCTCCGAATGGAGCAAAATCGTCAGCAGCACATCCAGCCAACTTCACACATACTCCCTAAGATCCGGGCTCCAGGCCGCGGACGGCGCGACCCACAAGGAGAAGACGAAGACGCATTCGTTGAAGAACTGCGTGATAAAGCAACGGCCTGGAAGGTCGTGCGTCAGGAGTTCCGGGAGAGATTTAATAAAGATGCCTCCGAGGCGCGTCTGCAGATGCGTCTTCATCGCCGCCTCCGAGAGCGAATGGTGCGCTGGGAAGAATCAGATGTGAGTATGTACCCCACCCGCAACACATAGTATGAAAGAAGCTCCCTGGGCTGGAGTATACATGTGTTGAGCAGTCCGTGCTGATATGAAATTCTGCTAGATAAAACTCCTGATCCACGCCCATGGGATCTGGGCAAAAGATAAATTCCATTACCTTTCGGACAAGGTGAGTTTTCCTATGCCCATATGAAACAGAAAAAGTTCTAATGTGTCTTTTGATCTTCTTTTTTAGATGAAAGAACTCGGAGGTACCAGGCTGTACTCGCCTGATCAATGCAGAACTCAACTTCGGCTTCTGGATGCAAAACAACAACATCGTGATCGTTCGAGCGAATCGCCATCTGCTATGTCTGACCCTGCTCCTATGTCACCTACTGTGTCTCGAAAACGAACTCGAGCTCAGTCCTTAGAGTCGGAGACTGACAGTGAGGATGCGACCTTATAGATTCATGAGCCATTCTTTTTTTCATTCTTTTTCTCTCTTCTCATTTCTCATTGCTCATTCATTTTCAGGATTTTTTCTTTTTCTTTCAATGGTCTCTTTATTTCTTTTCTTCCTATTCCAAGGTCCAACTTGATCGACTCTTTATCCGACCCTTGCCCCCATTATTGTCATGATCAGCCTTGGATTTGATAGGACTATGTTTGCAGAGCTGGGAGACATCGCTTGCTATTACACCATTTTCTATAAATTTTATTCTTATCTTTTATCTCAAATTTCATTTTCACTGCTATCACATTTCTCATAGATTTACAACTATGTTCTGTTGAACTTTCCTTTTCGAGCTGAGTGCAGCATCTAGGATGATGGAGTAGTGGCTCCGGTCTGGGGCTGTGAAGACCTAAAAGGTTTAGATTTTCTCCGAGCAGCTATTTTTGGATATTAAGTTGGTCTATTGGTCATTTCCTTAAAAAGGTAATACTAGTATACAACCGAGAGCCAATTTCCCGTCCTGCTAAGATTTACTATGTCGTAGATGCGGATGATACTCGTAGCCATGCACTTAGCTATCGAATTTCCAAAGCTCTCATTTCTGAAGGCCGATGTTTATATTTTATTTCAACTGTTATACATAGAAAAGTCTATTTCACAAATTAAACCTATCTCCGCCTTCTTCTGCCGTCTGTGTATGGAACTGAAGAAGGCAAGCAAAATATCTATTAAAAAGACTGCCAGATAGACATAAGGCCGCCGAAGCGGCCAACTATTCTTGTTACACATCTTTGGGAATAATAACTCACGAGTAAATATTGTATATGAGGAAGATACTGAAGAAATATGTGTAAAGCTGGTGAGGTTAGCTTGATAAAGCGTTGGCAAATGGACATAGCCACGTATAGAAATTATATTGCACTGGCAAGTACTAAACCATTATCATTGGGTCAAAGAAAGATGCATCTAACAATGGGATATACATAGTTCTAATTCTATACCTCCAACGCGAAGATTGAACTTCCCGTTCACGTGGGATCTGAGAGATAGGTTCTCCTTCCTCTCAGACAAGGTGTATAGACATCGAAAAGAATAATAAAAAAAAAGATCAGCAACTCTCATTGAAAGAAGGCAAAGAAAAAGAAAGGTTGGGGGTCTAAGACTGAAAATTTCTAGAACAATGACAAGGTATGCCACGTGCAAAATAGCCATGCGTATATAACAATAGCTCTGTCCTTGACTCAGAGACCCTGAGTGAGAATCTCTAGATCTAACAAAGATAAAGGGTGAAACAGTCTAATCGTTATACGCTCCGTTGAGACAGCGAAGCCATACAAAGGGAGTTTCCCAAAGATAAAGGCTTTGTGTCCAGAATGAGATCTGAAGCAGATCGTTTCTCTGGATAGGTAAAAAGAAAACACAAGAAAAGTGAATCCTACCTGGAACCAGCCTTGAAAATGAAAGGCAAGTACTCCAAGCTCCCAGACACAGACTCAAACTGTTTCTTCGGTGCTTTGCATAAGAAGACGAGATGGGAACCCATTTAACCATCATTTCCAGAAACAACACCATCCAGAACAATACCGTCCAATCCCATCATGGATACTCCAGACTTTACAATCCCCGACGACGACCTCGTCAACGACACACCCAGCGAGCATGTCCCGAAGGCCAAGAAGACTCGTCGCAGCCGCTACGACCCAGAGCCCGACTGGTCAGCCATGGTGCGAGCCAAGGTCACGAAGTCCCACAGTCGTGTCGGTCAGGCCTGTGATCGTTGCAAGGTATGCCTACCATATTCCGATATCACGCTGGCTTTGACCTGGAATACCATACTAACGCATTTGAATTGGTCTCCAGCTCAAGAAGATGAAGTGCACGCCCGATCTTGGAGGCTGCGCTTGTTGCCTGATCCTTAACATCCCATGCAAAGTCACTGACCGTGTCACCGGTGAGACCTGGGTGCGTGGTGAGGCTGGGCAAATGCGGGCCCTTATTGAGAGTCTCACGAAACAGACCGAGGACCTGAAGGAGCAGATCACACAGCTTCAGCAGAAGAACGCACAGCTACAGGACTGTCTCGACGGTTCCTACAGAGCCAATCTCATGGATCACTACGAGGTACGTCTTCATTCTTTTCTAGAATTCCTATGAATCGAAATATCCACGTTCCGATTACTTGTCTTTGGGAAACAGGGCTAACTCAATTGCCAGTCGGACCTTGACCCCAGAAATCACCATAGTCTACTGTGATTGTGGTGAGCCTTTTCGTCCTTGCTATTCTCTAGACAATTTATCATACCTCGTGTGTTTGGTTTCCTATTTGCATCCTCCTGTCCTGTCCGAGATGAAGTGTATGACCGAGAAAAGGGGAATGGGACATGGTGACAAGATTTGCTGTTTGAGTACATAAATGCTTGTATTTTGAATACTGTGGACTTTTCGTCTTGTAGTTAAGTGAAGTACGAGATATTTCTTGCAGTAGATGGGAAGAAAAGCAAATCTGTTTGTTTTATTTCCGAGAGAACACGTCAATGGGTGTATGTAGTATGATCGTGTAATGCCAATTCGTGCACCGGGTATCTAAAATAGAAATGCAATGCAATAAAAAATCGCCCCTTTACCAGCTGGCATTCTTTTTCCAGCAACAACAGATTCCTTTGCTTTCGCACCATTCCCTGACAGATGCAGTGCCAACCTCGCGATCCTCACCCACAAGTCCAAGCCCTTCGATATTGAGCCATGCTGTGAAATCTTCCAGAACGATAGGGTCATACATCAGGATCTTTTCATGCCATGTCGGTCGACTACGGCTACCGCGAGATGATGACAGTGGTGAGAGCCGAGGCTGGGCGCGAACAGCCTGGGTGATCTTTGCAGATATTTCTGCCAGGCTGATTTCTTTAGAGGATTCTGCTGTTTGCGTGGCTTTGGTGGATGCAGAGGATGATGGTCTTTTGACTGACATCTTAGAAACAACCTTGGGCTTGGTCGGGCTTGATGTTGGTCTTTTTGTGAGGATATCCAAGGAGTGGTGTTGCACCCGGCTGCCTGTCTTGGATTTTGAATAGATGTCGGTATAGTGCTTTTGTACTTGACTTGGAGAGGGGATGATTTCTTCTTCTGAGTCTTGAATCTCTTCTACATCAATGAATGACGAAGAAGTCCCAGTGATGGGATTCCTTAAGTTTTTCTTTGGGGTTGTCTGGAGACTGGTTTGCGAGGCAGAAGTTGATTTTGTCGCGCCAAGTGAATTTTGGCTTTTTATAGATGTTCCTGATTTAGACTTGACCGTCGCCTTCGCCTTCGCAACCGAGGCGGGTTCGGGGACATTGTCCATTTTAGAGGCAAGTTCTTTCGGTTGCTCGGGTTGGTATATAGGCTGGCTGTCAGAAGTAGGATTGCTACCGTGTTTCGATTCCCAACATTGTTGAAGGAGATCGATCATCTTCTTGCGGCCCCTGACTGCCTTGAAGCCATAAGTGGAGATCTGCTTAGACAACTCCACGTCTGTAAATCCTGTATATTGTGGCATTGAGGGCGCTTGCGAGGTAGTTGGCTGGGCATCAACCGCTTCAATCGGGGTTTTATTTGCTACCTTTGCAGGCTTGGCAGGTTTCGCAGGTTTCGCCTTGGCCATGGCCGTAGCTGTAGCTGCCGGGATTGGAACTGGAACTTGAACATGCATGTCTGAATCCAAGCTCCTTTCTGTCAATGGTAGCGATGATGGTCTCTTTTCTGGAGGTGAATCTATGTCTGCGAATTCAAGCTCAAACCAGTCCCTCCGAAGAGATTTTTGGCTTGCTTGTTCCACGTTATCATGGGTCTTTTTTGTAGGAGGCTCTCCCTCATCTGTCAAGTCTACCACTCTAAGTGTTTCTGGTTGAATCAAAGACCCTTCAGTGTCTCTGGCGCCAACACACCACATATTTCTGGAGCCTGCCAACCTTGATACAGAACGAGTAGATGATTCTTGAATCGCCCTGGAGTCCTTATCGCGCGTCCCCCCCGGATACGAAAGACCCTCGGACACATGGATGGCTTGCTGAGTTTCTCGCAGAGTCTGCGGCGAATCATCTCTTTCCAATTGACTGCACGTGCCGAATACAAGATCTTGATCATTTAGAAATTCGACAGCCGCTCCCGGGGAAAGCAAAGTGAACGAAGACTGTTTCTCTGTCTCTTTGGCCTTTCTTCGTTTTCCCTTTGTCGTTCTGATGTCCGGAAGGCAATCAATCACCGGTTCATCCTCTTCTGCATCATTTGTTGAATATTGAGCAGTCATACGCGCCGTCAGGGTGGTAAACTTCTTAGGTTTGCCCTTGGTTGTCTTTTTGGGCTTTCTCAAAGATGTCATATTCTCTCCTTGGGCAGATTTCTGATCACTTGAATCAGAGTACCCTCCATTGAGTAATGCTTGAATTTCAGGATTGACCAGCTCTATCCGTCGACGCTTTGTTGGTCCTCCGCCATTTGCATTATGCACAAGGTCGCGGGGATTTAAAGCCAATCCAGAGTAATTATAATCGGATAGCAGCTTGCCAAACCCACCCGTAAGGTTCAGATCATGGTCTTTATCCTGGCTTCCGCTATCGTTCACGGTAGCGACTTCTTCGTAAGCGGTCTCCCTTGGTGGTGTCCAGTCCATCCTTCTTCTCATTGCCTCGTCCAGATGCAACACCTCACCCGTTCCTAAGACATTGGATTCCTTGGGCTTGGGGGTTAATTTCTCGGGAGCATCCTCCGAAGGAGATAATTTTGTGGCAACCGTCTTCTTCCCGCCTTTGCTGGATTTCTTTGCTGGTGGGTCACCGCTTGTCTTTGTAACTTTCCCAGCCAGCGTCATGTTTCCTGCATCATTTCTCTTGGCATTTTTTCGAGGAAGCCCTTTAGTCGGTTTCAATTGGACATTTTGGGTGCCAACAGTCTCTGGCTGAGGGTCCCCAGGCACAATTGTTCCTGGCCCATCTGCTACTTTCTTCGCCTTCTGCCGGGATTTGCTCGGTGCAGTTTGCTTGCTGGTACTTGAAGTAGGATCCTTCTTTGTCGATCGCTTTTTTGGTTTCGTCACGTCCTCAGGACACTTGGTGCTCGCGATTGGAGTGGGAAAAAAACGGGAACGCGTGTGAGGTTGAGCTAAATCGGGTGTCGAACCCATTGGCGGTGGCGTTGCACCTCGTGGCAAGGCGTGAGGTACCGGCTTTGCATCATGCTTACCCAAAGGTGGCGACCGTGGTGGATTTGGAGAGGATGACAGAATGATCACATCTGCAATGTTGGCCATCGTGTCGAGTCGCGTCTTTGGGTGTTTGCTTGATTGATCAGGGCGAGTCGCGTGTACTGCTCGAGTTTGCTATATCAGACATCTCCTAGGCAGCGTTTGTACCGAAATAAAAACAATATAATGTGTATGCAAGTTCGGTATGCAGGAGAAGTTGCGTTGAGATTGAAGTTCAATGTTTCGATTTAACGGTCGATCGCCCGCGGTCTTGGCAAAGTTTGGAGTCGATAACATAGTTCGGCTGGGCAATCAACTACATTCAACCCCAACAGAATGGATTCGTTTTAAATATGTTTATGCTGAATGCTTGATGCGATCAGCTAATTCTCGACTTGAGTAAAAGCATTTTTACTGTGCTGTATCACATTAAACAAGCGGCTAGAATCAGACGCGTCAAACTATAAAAACATGCCTTGCGCCTCTGGAACATTTCATTCAATTTTTATCATTATCTTAACTTCGTGCACTGTTTCGACAGAGAGATCTGAAGTGTCCTTTGCTCAACCTTGGGGTCGAGGAATAGTAGATCTCAGCAAAACCATGGTGATCTGCTTGTGATTGATGATGGGCATATTCTCAAGTGAAGCCAATTTGGAGCTCAATATAACCCGCACTAGAGAACAGCGAGAGCTTGGAAAATGAATACATTTCCCACTCGTCCCAGAGCAATTTTAGGGATTTCGGGCACAGTGGATTGGGTTGGTTGATATAGGCAATTGCTCATGATCCCCTCAAGGCGATTGCACTCAACAAGGAATTTTCGAGTCGTTGCTTGGCCTCATCATTCTCCTTGGCCGTTGGTGAAGGCAGAGCACCTAGCTTGTACGCTTTCTTGATCTTGTTGATATCAGAGATTTTGGAGAGTGTCTGGTCATCGAAAGGCACAGGTGTTCCTTGAACCGAGCTATCCAAGTGGGCCGCAACGGATTCATGTGTTATCTCCGGAGAGACGGAGACCTTGATCACTAAAAGGTCCTTGGTTGAATCGGTAATACCAAATCTACGGAATGATTCAGTGATCTAAGTCCGTGTTAGCCCCGGCTTTAGTGGCAAAATTGCAGCTAATTCCTAGAATTGGCAACCCACATTATTCGTAGGGTTCAATGAGAACACGATCTCAGAATGCACATTATGAGATTTCAGTCGACTGTGCATGTAATCATTAACTGCTCTGAATACTGCAGCAGTAGCGTGAGCCCTTGACAGAACCTGTCGCTTGGTGTTAGTGGACTAGTTCCTTTTCTCAGTTCTCGAGAACAAATAAACATGCCATGCTTGCGTCAATAAATGCATACTCGAATTCTGTATGACCGGCGAGAAGTTGGCCTTTCAGGGAGGCGGCATTTTGAACATCGCGATATAGAGCAACATGCACGGGCATCAATGGTAGATGTGGCAGGCTGATCGTCTCTAGACTTGAGGCCATGACTGAAATCGAACCGAAGCCGAAACCGAAATCAAAAGAAGATGACGTATTTGTAATCAGGACGATCTGATAAAAAAAAATTAAAGTGAGCCCTGGAGTTCACTATGAGTCCACTGTGAGTCTACAAATCCATCCCACTTCTTGACCCACGTGACTAATTCTGGAATTTTCCGGACTTAAGCGGTCGCAGGCGGAACATGAGTAATCGTCTCCATATCACCCGTGGGCCCGACATTTAAACATCTCCTCAATCTTGATTCTCGACACATCCCCATCCCAAACATGGCTTTCTTTTTACGGCGCCCGTTCGCTGTATCCTCGGCGCTTCGCCAGGTCCCTAAGCTCACAAAAACCGCCCGATTCATTCACAATTCTCCCATCAAGCCCACCCAAGCAACAAAGCCTCAGGGCGTTTCGTCCTCGATCTTCGCCAAGTCCCGTCAGAACTTCCAAAATGCCTTCCGCCGTACATACATGCAGCAGAGCTTCAACCCTGCACAGGGTGGTAACATGACCCAGAAACTGGTGTATGGCGCTGCCATTATTGGTGGTACGGTTCTAGCAACCAACTTCATCTTCAACCGTGAAACGAGAGAGGACGGCGGTATGCCTGATTACGAGCGGAGCTTCTTGAACGAAACTTTCATGCACACTGGTCTTGGTATTGGTATCATTGGTGTTGCTGCTCGCGCCCTCCACATGAGCGGCTGGTCTTATCGTCTCATGGCCATGAACCCGTGGCTCGTCATGGGTGTCGGTCTCGTTGGCAGCATCGGCTCCATGTACGGCACTTTCTACACTTCCCCGGATAAGTAAGTTTTTCGCCTTCTCTTTCTTGTTTCCCAGGAAAACAAAATGAGCTAACTGTTCAATTAGCTACGTCATGAAGTATGGCTGCTGGACTCTCTTCAACCTTACCCAGGCTGCTCTTCTCTCCCCCTTGATGTTCATGAACCCTGCTATTCTCGCTCGCGCTGGTCTTTACACTGTTGGTATGATGGGCTCAATCGCTTTTGTCGGTGCCACTGCCAAGCAGGAGAAGTACCTATACCTGGGCGGTCCCCTTCTTGCCGGCGTGACCATCGTTGCTCTCTCTGGACTCGCCCCTATGGTCCTCCCTGCTACTGCGGTTCGCACTCTGATGTGGTCTGAGCGCCTCTGGCTGTACGGTGGTCTTGCTGTTTTCGGTGGTTTCACTCTTTATGACGTGCAGAAGATTCTGCACCATGCTCGTCTTGCCGAGCGCGGCCTGATCAAGCGTGATGTGGTCAACGAGTGCGTCAGCCTTGAGTTGGACTTCATCAACATCTTCATCCGCATGGTCCAGATCCTCGGCATGGGCAACAACCGTCGTTAAGCTACTTTATATCCACTGTATTAACTGTGCAACCTAATCTCAGGTTTGTCCAACCATAGAATTAGTGTTTCTTTTTTTTTTTTCTCGGTCGTCCGACAACCATGTATTTGAACCAACTGTTTATCTTTTTTTACCTTTTTTTTGGCTCTTTAACTTTGATATCTCATCATATGAGCAAGCGCAGTTAATCACTGTTTGTACTTGCTGAGACATACAACAGACAGGGTAGCGAATACAAATCTCCACTCCCTAGACAACTCTGCTACATTCAAAAACATAGTGATAATGATTTGAGTCTACAGACTCCGGCCTTGGAAGAGAAAGAAACGCGCTGCAAGCCGTCAATGTAAAATAACATAATATCAATGCCTAATAGTCGACTATTTACGTAGAAAGGTAGTGTCCAGTTCTAGATGGATATGTGTAGCCATATCAGGCTCTGGGTAGAGATTCAATACCGTAACTAGCTTTCTACAACAATATTATACAACCTAGCGTTTTCTTGCCTAGCTTGTGCCCAGAAAAATAAGAGATATCATTTAGATACATTTACATATGTATATACAATGCAATGCGCTCGAATTTATTATAGACCGAACTAGAAAGGGCAGGTCATGGTCATGTGATTGAAAGCTTCTCTTGATGGGGAGGTTGCTCAAGACCGCCCAAGAGGCCGTCCAATAATACCGCCCTCCGCCCTCTGCAGACTTCAGATCGCGATACAGACCCCGACTCATTGACCACTACAAACGTGCAGACTGAACATCCCAACATAATACCAACACAGTCGCACCAGTCTTCTTGCTCCATTACCTTACAACATGTCGAACGAGATGGAAATTGACCCTCCTGTCGCACACGACGAGGACGCTCCCGAGCAATCGGACCGCAGTTTTGAGCCACGCACCCAGGGGAACGCGGTCGCTGTGCGCAGTATCGAAGGGTGGATTATCATCGTTTCTAATATCCACGAGGAATCATCGGAGGAAGATGTCACTGAACTCTTTGCGGAGTATGGTGAGATCAAAAACTTCAGCTTGAACCTTGATCGGCGAACGGGTTACGTCAAGGTACGCATCCTCAATCTCACAACTACCTCTGGATCGACCCTCAGCAATGTCGCTTATGAAATATGGGAACCCTCGTCGACTTACATCCAATGAAACGATCGCTAACACTAATATTCCGGTAGGGCTACGCATTGATCGAATACTCCACTCTCCCCGAGGCCAGTGAAGCCATCCAGAACCTGAATGGTTACAAGCTCCTCGAACAGACGCTTCATGTCGACTATGCCTTTGTCCGCCCACCCCCATCTGGCAAGAACAAGAACGGAGGGCCAAAGGGCCGAGCGACTCGGAATCGCAGCAGAAGCCCCAACCGGAGTCGCAGCCCCGAAGCTAGCGGCGACCGGGACTAAGCTTTCCGAATGAATGGGAACGACAAAATTTGACCAGCATACACTGCTTGTGATCTTCCATTTGATACCTGGGCCTCGCTTTTTCTCGCATTTCTTTTCCAATGCCTCCCGCTGTTTCATTCGAACCTTTGCCCACCCTTCCTGCCAGAACTTGTCTACAAATGATGGACATATCACCTAGTATTCGCCGGCATGACCTCTCTTCAATCGAACCTGTATGGGTCCACAGGCCGAGTGTGGGTGTGCATGGGACACATACACACGAGAGGTGCGTGCCGGCGTCACGATAGATTGCCATAATGGTATGGGAATTTGCTTTTAATCTTTCACTAGAATAATGCTGACTTTGACTCAGAAATGAAAGGCCCTTCCTTTGATGAAAATTGAAAATTGCTGTATGAGCATCTGGTCAACAAGGACAACCTTGGACCCAAAGCCCAGGCTCTAGAGGTAATGTACACTATGATGAATGGTCACGAGTGACCCTTCATTACGACCACTTGTCTCGCGACTCATTTCAAGACAAATAAAAAAATGGCACATTAGAACTCTGTAGTACACGATGTAGCATACCTACATGTATGTAGGATTCTTACGGGGTGGGATGCATCATGCGACAACCATGTGGCGCCAGAGTATGATCAATAAATAATTTTTTTGACTTTAGCATAGTAGAGTCAAGAGGGGGGAGTGATACCTAGGTAAAGGCTTTGATACCACATACCATGGATGTGGATGTCCTCACCCGGGGGCACTGGGTCTGGTGACTAAGCTTAACCCTTCCCGTTTCCCCATTTTCCCCGCATGGCGCATGAGGTTATCGCTATTCTTCTTTTTTAGTCGCTGTCATTGCGCACTCCTTACTCTCCATTCTTATATACGGCCTCTAGAATCTTGTGTCTGGGGATCTGATTCTGACAGGATATATGTCCTAAGGCAGAATGGCTCCCCAACACACATTTTTTACCCCCTTGGGGCTATCACGATCTCTATACCGTATTGTTATGCTATTCTTCCTATCATTTTCTGCTGTGGTCAATGCGCTGGCGTATCCATCTCAGGAAGTATTGGGAATGTCTGCATCTTCCAGTTCGATTGATGGTTCCTCAAAAGAGACTGTCTTTGGGAGTACTGGATCAGCGCCGGAAGGGTCAATTCACGACCCCATTCTGAATACCTTGCAGGATCTTATCGCCGCCCTGCAGGTCATGCAAGACGGGTACTTCGTGATGTGGCAGGGCACATGGCCGACAAGCATCGATTGGACCGCGGCGGTGTTGGGTACACATGTTTCGGCAGCGCTCTCGTCTCTAACCTCAGGTCCGCTTGATATTCCCGGCACAGATGAATTGCAAGGATTATCCTTCTTCAGGCTTGAGAATACGGTCAATAGATTTTTCAGCCAAACTTCCGCGTTTTACTTTGGCGAAAACTCTTTCAGTATTAGAAACCAGGCTTACGATGACATGCTGTGGGTCGTGCTAGGGTGGTTGGAGAATATCAAGTTCCAAAATCTTCACTCGGACCTTCACTATATCTCCTCAAACAACAGTTCTGGAGAGCCTTGGTACGGTACCCAGTTCCAGAACTCTGCTGCGCACAGAGCACGCATCTTTTACGAGCTCGCATCCGCTGGTTGGGACAAGACCCTCTGCGAGGGCGGCATGATTTGGAGCCCATACTTGATGCCTTACAAGAATGCGATTACGAATGAACTCTTTATCTCCGCAAGCATCGAGATGTATTTGTACTTCCCCGGAGATTCTATTGACGCCCCGTTCCTTGTCGACTCACAAGGCACACAGACCGCATGGAAGCACCCGCACGACCCTCTTCATCTGCAGGCTGCGATTGACGGGTATGAATGGCTCAGAAACTCAAATATGACTGGGATCGGCAGTCTCTATGCAGATGGTTTCCACATCAGTGGTTGGCAAAGCGCATCAAATCCCGGCTCTAAGAAATGCGACGAGCTCAACTCTATGGTCTACACCTACAATCAAGGAGTCGTTCTCAGCGGGCTGAGAGGACTTTGGCTAGCCACAAACTCGCAAGTATATCTGCAGGACGGTCACGAGCTTATTCACCAAGTACTGCAGGCTACCGGATGGTCAAATACCTCCAGCCAGCAGTGGAAGGGACTTGGTCGCGGAGGTGTGCTCGAGGACGCATGTGATTCTCGCGGAGTCTGCTCCCAGGATGGACAGACCTTCAAAGGGATAT